CAAGCTGTCATAACCTATTAATCCGAAAACTCGATTGTTAGACATAAAAATTCAAAATCGTTCAAACATGGAGAGTCGTCACCAATAAAAGTAAAATAATATTATGAGAAATATAATTTTTGTTACTTTATCTTTTTAATAAAACAATAAAATGAGTTTAAAATTTATTAAAAAGATAATTTTTATGTGCATGATTAAAAATTTTTACTTGACTCTTAAAATATCTGTAGTAGAGTCGTCAAGTTATCATAACGTATTAATTCGAAGACTCAATTGCTAGACGTAAAAATTTAAAATCATTTAAACACGAAGAGTCACCACTAATATTTTTTAGGGTGTGATTGGCTACCTAAAAATTTTATCTTTTTAATAAAACAATAAAATGAGTTTAAAATTTATTAAAAAGATAATTTTTGTCTACAAAACAAAATTGGGTTCAAAAGTCAATTACATATAGGAAAAGATTAGCACCCCCATAGTACCTATAAAATTGGTATTAATTAATCATGCACTATCATTGGTTTTGGATAAAAAAGGCTTCATTTTAAGATTTAATAATAAATCCCTTTCTTTTTAAGAAATAAAATCAATAAAAAAAGTCTTTATTTAGAAATGCTATGAAAATCTATAAATTAAACAATATCTTAAAATTCTCCGACACAAAGCTAGAATTCAAGGATAATCCTTCTGTCTAAGATCTATCATAACATTTCCTTAAAAATAAAAATAATATTCTTTGACAATGATAATTATTGATGATGCTCAACATCTAAGCAAAGTACCAAAAATTATATTTCTCGTAATATTATTTTACTTTTATTTATTTATTCATTTTTTAAACTAATTTTTTAGAGAACTTTTCATGAAGTAAAAAAACAAAAAAAAAATTAATATTAATATCAATAATTAGAATGAGCATATATATGCATAATGAATGTAAACATTAATCTAAAAATGAGAAATACACAAGCAACAATAAAATGTGAACTTTAGGAATCGAATTTTGAAATATAAAAGACTACCCAGACTTTTTAACCTCTAGACAGAGTTTGGATGTGATTATTTATATTTAAAATCTCATTTTTATTATTTTTTAAAAAATGAATTATATGAAAATTCTTATGAATAAAATTTCTTAAATACCCCATCATTTAGGTAGTATTCAAAAATAGATTATTTTACAAAAGCATTTCATATAAAACCTTGAATTTTGGGATGGTCTTAGGGTTTTAAGTGAATGAAGACTTCAAGGTCTTATTTAGGGTTTTAACTAGGGCTTAGAGTTTCAAGGTTGTATTTTAGGGTCTCGAGTTTTACCTTGGGTTTAAAGTTCCACCTAGGGTTTTATTTTAGAGTTTTATTTAGGCTTTCTTTTTCAAGGTTTTGAGGTTTTAAAAATTTATGAACCTCTCTAAAAATTTTTAATATTTAGGCAAACTTTCGGAGTAAGCTTGTAATTTGTAATTTTCTAAATAATGAATTTTTATATATTTTATATATTTTTTATTTTTATTAAAATTTTATTATTCTTATTCTTTATTATTTTATTATTTAATAATTCTTTAACTTTTAGGTGAAATTATTATTATTATTATTATTATTATTATTATTATTATTATATTTTGAGTTGCATGAATTTATCTTAAAATTTTTTCACTCTAATTTTTGTAGTGAATTTGGCTTTCAAATTGTAAGGGATTAAAGTTAACAAGATGAAAGAAAAATAAAAACTGTAGGAAGATTGAATAAAATAATAGCTAATTGTAATCACATCTACAAACTATCAAGTTTTAAACAATATCTGATTTGCCTAAAGAAAATTTTGCTATACTAAATAACTACTACAACCAATTAAAGAAAGGTTTAAATGAAATGTAAAACAAAAAAAAAAAAATACAAAGAGATGTGAGCTAAATAGCCAAAGATCTAACAACTAGAGAAACTAAAACTAAAAAGTAGGGTTTTAAATTTTATGAGCAAAGGATCAAGATATCAAAGCTAAGCATGGAAGATTTATGCATGACATGCTCGAAAAGGTCTAAAGAGATTACCTTTCCTGCGAACTTCAATCCTCACTTCTTTTTTTGGTTTTTTTTTTTTGTTGAATATTTCTAGTTTTCCTTTCAATTACTGACTTTTTGCTCTTTCTTCTAATTTTTTTGCTACTATTTTCAAGTTTTTCGCTACAGGTTTTTTACTATTATTATTGGCTTTTTTACTTTTTGTTTTGCTTAAAGAACCTCTTCTGCATCCCCGGTTTTTTCTATCTTTTTTTGTTGCAATTTTGTTTTCTTTTCTTCGGCTAGTTCTCCTTCTCCCTGAGAGCTTTGCCTTTTTTTTTTATCTTTTATTTTTCGTTCTGGTCTTTTTCGCATTCTTCCCTATGCTACTGTTATATGATCAATAGTTTTTCTTGTTTCTGCATCTTGTCCTCTAACTTCTCTTTGGCCATTCTTTTGCATTTTTCTTTTATTTTATTTTTTTTTGTAATTTGTTTTACTATATCTCCCTTGTTTCCACTGCTACCTCTATTTTTTTCTAGTTTCTAGCTCTTCGTTTATGTTGTCTGCTGTTAGTAGCTTTTGGCAGCTTCATCATCCCCTCTTTTTTTAAAATTTTTTTACCTAGTATCTATTCTGTTTTCCTTTTCCTTTACCTTCTCTTTCAACTGCCTTTCATTTTTTGCTTTTTCCCCTTTCCTAGTTCACTCGTTTTTGGTCGCTATTCTGCTTCATTTCGCCAACCAACTTTTTTTTTGTTGCTCATTCTCTATTTTCTTCTGGTATTTGCATTTTGCATTTTTTGTCCTTTCTTTTTACATTTTTGCTTTTTTTTTTGTTGGATTTTTTCTTCATTTATTGGCACCTTTTTTTTGTCTCTTTTTTTTTTTTGTTTTTGGTTCTTTTTCTCCCTTTTTTTCATTGAATCGTGCCTCTTTTTTTCTCATTTCTAGTTTTTGTTTTCTTTGGTAGGTTAGCAAAATTGCTCATCCCACGTTGCACCATACCTTCTTGCCATTACCATGTACGCCCTTATGCATTTTTCTTCATGCATAATGGCTTTTCATGCAGTTTTGTTTTTCTTCTATTTTGTTGTTTTTGTTTTTCCATGTGAAGCTTACTTCCATCAGCTTTTTTTTTTTATATACTTTTATGTCCCATGCATGCATGTTTTTAAACCCAATAGGCCAAGCTTTTTTATTATATATATTTATTTATTATCATTTTTATTTATATTATTTTTTATTATATATATTTTAATATTTCTTTATATCTATTATATACATATTCTTTATTTTTAATATTTTAGTTTTTATTTTTTTATATTTAATGACCAACAATAAGCCATTGATGGGTTTTAAGAATAACTCTTTTATCAAACTTTTTATATGGTTATTTCGAGCATTATTTGAGCTAATGTAACGGACCTCATTATGGGATCAACATTGGGCTTCATCCTTGATCATCTAAAAATGAATCGTTAATGAATCTAAAAAATTGATGATAAAAACCTAATTATAAAAGCAAACCTGATTTAAAAAATATATATCTTGGACAAAATTAAGTATTTACAACTACCTTAATGTGAATGAGAGGTATATAAATTCCAATTTTTTTCTTTGTTTCACATCTTGTTGCTCCCAGGGGGCATGATCCTCAGAGCTAACTCAATATGAGAAAAATTTTGTTTACTTATTTCTTTTTTCAGGAATTTATTCAATTTTTCTTCCTTCATTAAGGCCCATTCGCATTAATAAACTATAAAATTGTCAACATCTAACAACTAAACAATTTGGCAAGAAATAATAACAAAAATAAAAAGAAAATGACTTTTATATGGTCTCTGATTCAATATACATGTTTATTATTATTGTTATTATTGTTATTGTTGTTATTATTATTAATGTAATACATTTATTTATTAATATGAATAAAATTATTTGATTGTGAGTTGTGACCTTATATGATCGGTTTTTAATTGCGAAGAATAAATTTAAAGAAATGGAATTCTTTCTTTATTCTTTTTTTTTAATGAAAATGTTACGAAATTCTGCTTTGTCAAAGTCCTGGTCATTGGACCTTCCTATATGATCTTCAAAGATCAAGCCATTTTTCTTTTCATTTTTAGCCAAAGAAAAAAAAAATCAATCCACATGAATGCTTTATGAGGAAAGGAAAAAAAAATTAATTATCGGGTTTAATCCTTCTACATTTATTGTTGCTTGTGTTATTAAATATATTATTAAATATTTTTATTGTATATAGGGAAAAAAATTACCATTATTTTAAAATTTGATTTTCCGTGCATTATTGAATATTGTAAGAAAATTGGATAAGTTATTATTGATTATCTTTTACATTTAATCAAATGTATTTTTTTTTTTTGGCTTTTTTCTCTCCAGAACCATTTCCTTTTAACTCAGAAATTTTTGTTTGTTGTAACTAAGGTAGTCAGATATTAAAATTTTGAATATTAAAATTCCAAAAGACAACATGACTGTTAATTAACTATAAGCTTACCGATAAGTGACATTATTGCTTGGAGCATATTTCGCATTGCAAGCTTTTATTCATTTTGATTTGAAATTCGTTTGACAATATCAATGAACCGTGCTTAAATGTAATTGTCATATATTTAATAAAATTCCGATTAAAAGATCTCATTTAATAGCAAAAACATCATCAAACATTATACAAAATTCCAATTTAAAAATAACAATTATGGCGGACTTGTTTTCAATCATAGAAGCAAGTAGCCACCTGCAGTTGCTTTCAATGTAATTTTTTAATAGAAATCGCAATGTCAGTTTGATTCTTAATAGATCTCATAGATTTGTTTATAAAATAAAAAAAGCGTCATCCAAGTGTAAATTCAAGTCTTTATAAACATAATACAACAAATTCTCATAAATTTAAGATATGAATTGAAATTGTCACATTAATGAAACACCCCAAAGATCGAACTGTTCCGTTATTGTTTACATTAGGAAGAAAACAGAGATGAGCTCGGAAACTGCAGTTAGGCTTTCCGGTGATAGATTTCTCAAAAAAAAAAAAAAAAGACCTGAAGCCAGGCATCCCTGAGTGGAATTTGGTGAAAGCCCAAGTCCGGAGAGCACTCCAGGAGCACAGGTGTTTCGAGGCTTTGTTCGACAAAGTCCTGGACGTTCGGAAGGCAGTATTTGGAGACCTGGAAGAGCTATTTGACCTGCCTTTACAAACTAAAAAGCGCATTGTTTTCAAGAATCTGTTTATTGGCTATTATGGGTCTACGATACCACTGTATGAAAGCATGATCATTGATGATGCAAACATTGCTGAAAACTTTGAACAACGCCTGACTAGCATCTTGTGGCCTGAAGGAAACACACGATTCAGGTCCAGAAGAATAACTCTTTCATTTTACTTCCTGATTAAAATTCTTTTAACAAAATGTTATTTTTGGAAGACAACTTCCCAATTTTCTTGTTTTAGATTACTAGAAATTGAATTTTAATCACTGAAATTTTTTATTTTTATATTTAAAATTGTCAAAAATTAAATTTTAATCACTAAAATTAAAAATAAAATACTATATCAACTGACTATTGGGAAAACTTGCTAATTTTCACCCTTTCTTTTGACAGCAAAAGTATGCACTCATTCCATTTAAAATACTTAGTTTTTATGAATATAGTATATATAATTAACAGCTCTGCCTTTGGCAGCAAAAGTCTGCTATCTTTCTCAGAGCTAGCGTCAGGATTAGAGAAGACAATTAGAATCATGATTTTGGAGAGTTTTGGTGTGGAGAAATACATGGATGAGCACATGGATTCCGCCAATTATATTCTTTGGGTCATGAAATATGAAGGCCCCCAAACCAGCGAGGCAACTCTTGGGTCACGTGCTCACTCTGACCAGAACATGGTTACCCTATTGTATCAAAATGAGGTTAATGGATTGGAGATTCACACCCAAGACGGCGACTGGATTAGTGTAAAACCTTCATCGGACACTTCCATAGTCATGATTGGAGAGTCTTTCAGCGTTAGTCACTTTAATATGAACATATCGTTTTTAGAAAGCACAAATGGAGGAGAAAATTACTGTTTTTAATATAATGCGCTTATAGTTTAACTTTTGAACACACTTCAATCTCTAGTTAAACTATTGTGTTATATTAAGCCTTCTATTGGGATTGAAAGTTGTTTTAAACTAAAACTCCATTTGTTCCGCAATAAATAATTTTTGGAAAATAATTTTTGAAAAATATTAACATTTTTTGAATTGAAAATTTTTTTTGTTGTTTGGATTAGTTAATAAAAAAATTTTTTTTTTGCTTAATTGTTTTCTAGAAAATCTATTTTTTTCAAATAATATTAATATAACTATTAAAATATTAAAATTTGTTTATTATTAAAATATATTGAAATTATTTATTATAAAAATTATTTGTATTAAAAAATAATTATATTTTAATAATAATATTTAATATTAAAATATTATGTTAATATAAAAATACTTAAAATAAAACTATTTATTATTTTGTATATTATTTATTAATATATTATAATATTATTTATTAATAATATTTATTAATATATTATATTAATAGTATATTATTTATTAATAATATATTATTTATTAATATAGTATAATATTATTTATTAATATAATATTATTTATTAATATTATATTATTTGTTAATATTGTAAAAAATTGATTCATAACTAGATTTGATTAAGTGTCATTCATTTAGTATTTTGGTTGTTTCCTAAATAAAAGGGATTTGATTCATTGATCAAATTCGTACTTGGTAGTTTTCATTTATTGTTAGGGCATTTTTAGGTGATTTGTTATTATTTTTTGGATATTATGGGATTTGTCAGATTTGATGCTTTAGATATATATATTCTTGTACTCTAGAAAGTTTCTTAAGAATTCATAAATAAAATTCTCCTGAATTTTTTCATGGTATCAAAGCATTCAGCATGAACTATCAAAACCTATATATATTTTTTTCTTTTTATCTTTCTAATTATGCCATGGCCAGTAGCACAAGTGTGTTCGAGCCCTCTATTTTGCCTATCATTGATCATAAACTCAATGACCAAAACTTCATCCAGTAGTCTCAATCAATGATGTTGTTTGTCTATTGAAAAGGTAAGAAAGATTATTTAATGGAAATGGCTATTTCACCCAGCAAGAATCACTCGAAGTATCGAACCTGAAAGTTGGAAAATAGCATGGTAGCTGGTTGATCAATTCTATGACCAACGAGATTGGTGAAAATTTCATGTACTACAAAACTACCAAGAAAATTTAGGATGCTATGAAAGAAACCTACTCCAACGTAGACAATACGTCTACAATATTCGAGATAAAAGCACTCTACATGACTTATAGCAAAGAGACTCCTCTATCATGAAATATTTTAATTCTATAACTCATTATTAGTAGTAATTAGATATCTTTGAAGAAATAGCATGGAAGTGCCCTGATGATAGCCAACAATATAAGAAAATAGTAGAGAAGGATTGAGTTTTTAAGTTTCTACTTGGTCTAAACAAGAGCTTTGATGATATTCGTGGGAGAATTCTTAGCATCAAGCCATTACCCAGCATCTAAGAAGTTTTCTCTGAGGTCCGTCGAGAAGAAAGTAGAAAGAAAGTGATGTTAAGGACATCATACAATCCACAAGAGACAAAAAATTCAGCCTCTACTATATGAGGACCAAAATCCTACCAAGATGGTAAAAATCGATAAAAGAAAAGTAATAGACCTTGGTGTGACCACTATTAAAAAGCAAAACACACAAGAAAAAATTGTTGGCAAATCTATAGGAAACTTACTGACTACAAACCACATTTTACTCGAAATCGAGAGAGTTATGAAAATTTTGCTACCACTAAGACAACTCCAACACCTTCGAAATCAAGCATGTTCAGTAAAAAGCAGTTGGAACTCTTTCAAAAAATTGTTCAATAATCTCTTAAAAACACTGGGTTAGTTGTAAGCATAATATTTATTGCCTAAAAAGATAACTCTCTCAATGTTATACTTGTGCAAAGTGAAAAATTAAGATCTTGACTTTGTTTTTCATATCCCTAATTTAAATTGCAACCTTCTCTCTATTGGTAAAATTACAAGATCTTAATTGTGTTATTAAATTTCTTTTTAACATGTGTGAATTTCAAGGCTTGGATTCAACGAAAAAGATTGGCAATGCTATGATATGTGTTAGACCTATGTCTTTAGAGATGAAGAGTCTAAGAGACAATCATTGAAGTGTGCTTGTTCGGTTTCATCTTCTAGTAAGAGTAAAATAAAATACAATTATGTTATGTCACTATCGTTTAGGACATCTAAATTTTTTGTACCTTAAAAAATTATTCTCTGGTTTATTCAATAAAGATTTCAAGTCTTATCAATGTGAAATTTGTCAAATTTTCAAACACACTCGCAATTCTTATCCAAGTCAACCATACTAATCAACTCATCTTTTTTCTATGATCTATAATGATGTTTGGGGATCATCGAGGTTAGCAATATTACAGGCTTTAAATGGTTTGTTACCTTCATTGATGATCACACAAGAGTTACATGGTTGTTCCTCATATGGCTGTTCCTTATGAAAGAAAAGTTAAAGGTTAGTTCAATATTTCAAAATTTTAATAAGATGGTTCAAACTTAATTTTAAATAAAAATTTAGGTACTTGAAATAGATAATGGGCGAGAATACTATCACTCAGTTCTTGGATCTTACTTGTTAGATCAAGAAATTATTCATAAGAGCTCATATACTGAAACTCTTCAACAAAATGAAGCTGTCAAGTAGAAAAATAGACATATGATAAATTATGCTAGCCTTTCATGTCCCGCAACATTTCTAAGGAGAGGCAATCCTAACAACGGCCTTTCTTATCAATAAGATGCTTTCTAGAGTGCTAAAATTTCAAATCCCTTGTCAAACACTTCTCAAAACCTACCCTTATGTCTAACTTATTTCCTTCATACCAGTCAAAATGTTTGGATGTACTACCTTTGTTTATATACACCAACAACAATGTAATAAACTAGACACCAGATCATTCGGGTGTATATTTCTTGACTATTCACCTAACTAAAAGGCTACAGATATTATTCACCAACTACCAAAGAGTTTTACACTTTTATGGATGTCACCTTTTTTTAGAATCAACTATTCTATCCTAAAGCCAATATTCAGGGGGAGAGTTTTAGGGAATATTAACTTTGGGAGAATGAATCATCATCTGATCCTTTCTTTACTTGTCTGTCAATTTAAATTCCAATTTAAAATAATTATTATTCTTCTTCTGACTCAACTAGTCATCTTGAGTCTCTAAAATCTCCTGAAACCATGTAAGAGACAAAAGCTAAGGAAATGATTGTATACTTAAAGAGACTGAAATCTTAAAAGGAGATAGGGACTTGTACATCTCCAACACAGAACCAAGATTCTGAACCAAATTTAGAGACTTTTAAAATTCATACAAGTAACACAATTACTAAACCTATCTCTAATGATTTTCCTAGTGATCTTGATAAGTCCATTGCTGTAAGAAAATGAGTAAGATCATGTACTTAGCACCCTATTAGTAACTTTGTTTCTTATAAAGGGTTGTTTTCTACTTATCGAGTACTGGTTACATCATTAACTAATGTTCATATACCGAATACCATTCATGAAATGCTTGAACAACCAAAGTGAAAGGCTATGGTATTGGAAGAAATGTAAGCACTAGAAATGGCATATAAAAAATTATTGATCTTTTAAAAAAAAAGAGTCCAGTAGGATGTAAGTAGATTTTTACTATCAAACACAATAGAGATGGAAGTGTGAACAAATTCAAAGCTTGTCTTATGGCTAAAAGGTTCTCTTAGTCCTATGGAATTGATTATAAGGATATGTTTGCTATTGTAACAAAACTAAATTCTGTCCGTGTGTTACTATCACTTGCTGTAAACCTAGATTGGCCTCTTCACCAACTCGATATCAAAATGCATTTATGAATGGTGATCTAGTGGAAAAGGTTTACCTGATGATTTTTCCAAAGTTTGACAATCAGGACAACATTGACAAGGTGTGTAAGCTTCAAAAATTCTTATATGGTCTCAAATAATCTCCTTACGCCTGGTTTGATCATTTGACTAAGGTTGTTAAAAAAATGGGTTCTTACAATGCCAATCTGAGCACACTATGTTTGTCAAACATTCACCAAATAGCAAGATTGCTATTTTGATTGTTTATGTTAACGGTATTGTCCTCACAGGAGATTATGAAGAGGAAATAGTTGGATTGAAGACTCTTCTAACTAAAAAGCTTGAAATAAAGGACTTGAGATAGCTTTGATATTTTCTTAGCATGAAAGTAGCTCGATCAAGAAATGGTATTTTTGTTTCACAACAAAAATATGTATTTGATCTTTTCAAAGAGATAGGGATGCTCGAGTGTAAACAATGGATACTCCAATGGACCAAAATGTCAAGATAGGAATCGAAAATGGAAATCCTCTTGTAGACCAAAATAGATACCAGAGACTTGTGGGAAAAATAATTTATTTGGTGCATAATAGACCTGACATTGGCTTCTTTATAAGTATGGTGAGTAGATTTATGAACAATCCTATAAAGACACACATGGAGGCAATATATTGGATCTTTCAATACTTGAAAAAGAAATCCAGGCAAAGGGTTGCACTTAATAAAAATACTAAATAGAGATGTGAAGATTTTCTCATATGTAGAATGGGCTAGTTTTGTGACAAACCAAACGTCAACTACAAGGTATTATACATATGTGTGGGGCAACTTGGTCACCTAAAAGAGCAAGAAACAAGTAGTGGTAACTTGAATTAGTGCTAAAGCTGAATTTAGGGCTATGTCTCATGGAATTTGTGAAGAAATTTGGCTTAAGAGAATGCCATAAGAATTAAAGAAGTTAGTTGAGAATTTAATGAAACTATTTTGTGATAATAAAGTAGCTATTAACATTGCGAATAACCCTATTCATCATGGTTGAATGAAACATGTAGAGATTGATAGCCACTTCATCACAGAGAAGATTGAAAAATGTGCAGTCAAATTGGTCTACA